AACAATTATACTCTCTGCATCAGTCTTATATGGAACATATTGTTTATGCAGTTGTATATGTTATTGAGTTCTAATCAAAACTCTAGACAAAAATGAGTCTATTCTGGTTGAAGGATGACATGTATTGAAGGGTCAATAGAATTTTTATTTGCATCAGTGTTTTGCGTACTTACTTTATGTTATGAAATTTGAGTGGCTCAAATATCGGCAGATACAACACAATCAACATATATATATGTCTTAAATATTGAATATTCAACATGTATATCATTCAACGATCAAAATAAACTCAATGTTTATCGAACAAAATTTATTTTGATCAATGTATCAATAATCCTGTCTTTAAGAGTTCTACGGAAATCTACTTAAAAATAGCTAACAAAACCTAATAACATTTAAAGTAAAATATTGTTTCTAATTGTTTAATCATAGCCTCGTTTAAGAAGTTCAATCTTTTTGAAATGTGAGATAATTAAGATCATTGTTACATTTCCCAAGGGATAGAAATATAATATTAGAACCAATCAATTTCAGAGAGATAAACACAATTAAATTAGTTGAAGCAAGTATAAGTTCTTTTGATGCATTGACTATCACTTATCGATTCAAATCACATATTCATGAATGTTCCTTAATCTTTTTATTGTAAAGGTTTCTGTTTTTTTGTCTAATGTAAAACTTTGTTCCACTAAAGTAACAAAATTTTTTACCTAGTGGATACATGATATATTCATTTAAAAACTGTACATTCAAAAGAAAAGACTTTAAAAAAAAAATTAGGCTTTGTATGGTTTTGTAGATATTTAAGTTATGTACTTTAAGAAAATCTGTCATTATAAAGAACCGCTAGTGATTACATGACAATATGTTTGTAGATTTTATAAGCGGTACTAAAATGAACAGGAATTCACTGGTTAGAGCTTTTTCCTATAAGTCGTTCATGCAAAAATACTATGATAATGGCAAGCATCCTATGCATACAGACTTCGGTAGATAATACACTGACTTATTCATTTATATGTTCATATTTATTAGAATATTGATACTGTCGATGAAAATGAAGATTAAGTACTTGTACTTGATTTATATCAATCTGAATTGTTTTTTAACAGTGAAAGAGCTTATCTGATTAGAAGTAAAGCTAATCAGATTTATTAAAACCGTTGACCAACTCATTACAGTAGGGATGAGATGTAAGCAGAAATCCGATACTACAAACTTATCATATAAATAAATATTAACAACTGCATACATTAGTTAAAAAGCTTCTATCCAACTATCACTAGTAACGTGTCATTAATTACTACTGAGCTGTCCACAACTGTATAAACCTTATATTTAAGGCTAATATTCAATACATAAGATTAAACTCATTTTATTCACACCATTTTTGCAATAACTTACTAAGAAAACTGGTTACAAATAGATTTCTTTATGTATCTTTTTAAATCTCAATTGTTTTTTTAAGAAGAATAATTCATCAAGTGTATTAAAATGTGATTTTGTTTTCAGTAGGAAACAAAATGGATTTTTACTTTATAGCCATTATTTAACACAATAAATATTCAGGAAGTACATAATCAAAAACTTAACTTATAATCAAGAATATTTCAAGGTTTTATTTAGTTAGGAAAGTACAAATAATGAAGAACATGGACTGGTCGACATTTTAAGTATTTCATGCACTTATTTCATTGAAGAAAAATGAAAAAGAAGTAATTCTATTTATTTATTATTTAGCTTATTCCAAACTAAACATTATTTAAAATGGAGGATTTAGAAAAAAAGCTTATAAGATATCGGATCAGCTAATAGACTAAATAATCTTTCATAGATAATTACAATGAAAATTTTCAATAAATATAAACATAAAGATAAGATATTGATTATAAAGATTTTCTCCATTTTCAGTAATCTATAAGGAAGGAATGAGGAGACTGCTGCACTAACTTTATTGAAGTTTATTGCTACAAAACACAAAATAACATTGATTAGTTCAAGTAGGTTTTCACTCTAAAAAAAACGACACACACTATTATTGTAGATAAACATCATCAATGACTAGGCAAATATAAAACCTTAAAAGGTACTAATTTCATTTCACAATTTCAAAGCTCTTGTAAAGCATGATTACATCTATTGGAAAATTTTAAACTTATTTTGAAAAATGAAATGCTCTAACCTAATACGAAGAAAAACGCATAGTGAGTGTCGGTACGAAATGTAAGTTATTGCTAATTATGGATATTGATCTCAACTTGACATACATTCGATCTGTATACTTTCACTAAACTCAACAACCACTTCCTTTTTTATGCAGTGATATTTCTTTTGTAGTGTAAACTTCTAGATACTGTACTCAAAACAATTTCAGTAGCATGTAATCTAGAGAGATATGCTGACTAATTTTATACTCAGTAGTCTTGAGAAAAAGAGGTAAAATGAAGTCTGCCTAATGTTACCAGGAATGGTCTAAAGCTATTCATCATAGTAGAGTATAAAACAGCTTTTAATTGCATTGCGTCCGCGTACATTGTTCTGATTGATATTACCATATTTGGTTGAAATTGTAGTGTTGTTATTCAGAGGTTGAATTATAAGTTTCCTAAATTTATTAGTTTAGTCTTCTACCTTACACAGTTCAAACCTCACTGTCCTTCTATTTCAAGTCCGATTTCGGCAATTATGTTGATACTATTATTAATCAGTTAATTCAATATCCCATCTGATGAAAGTAGAAACATCTAGAAGTGTAACTGGTAACTTGCATTACCTCGGTGGATTTCACGCATAAAGTTGAAAATTTATGGATTACAAAAGATTTTGTAAATTCAACTTCAGTTTCTTCCAAATTAAATAAACGGTTTACAACATTACTTTTCTTCGTTTACGATTTAATGGAATATCTCAAGGTATCTTCACAGATTTCTGTGTTTCGGATGACCTTAATTTTAAATAATCAGTTGCTTCCAAATCCAAACTTGTTTTATTATTTTGCAAGTGGACAGTTTTTTAAGCAACGTCTTTGTTTTCCTTACTGTTTTACATTATCGCTCAGGCTATTACACAATTTTTTAATACCATAAACCAACTCAATTACTTTTGAAAAGATGTAATACTTATTTTATAGGACAATTACGAATATAAAATTACTATTAATATGATCCAAGAGCTTCAGTGAAGGATATAGTCGAGAAAAAAATTCTCTTTGCTAAACTTGTTGTTGAGTAACGGAAATGAAAATGACGAAATTTACTTCTGGCCAACTGATAGTTATCTATAGATAACTTTTGATATTAAACAAACACATGTGATCATGTCAAATGTGTAAAAACACAAATCTCCAAAGCTCTGCCTGAAAATATCGTAACAGTGCTCATTAGTGACTAGCTTCATGAGGAAATTCTCGGAGTTCTAGTTGAGAAGACGTGACCAATGGAGTTCAACCCTGTCGGGTGTAGGCAGTAACTACCGAAGACAAATGAGTGAGGTCGCGCAAAATCCCTAGATCAATCAGAGTTAGACATTAACACCGATAGATATCGGCACAGTGGTCCGATGGTTGGTTCGCGTACAGTACCGAAGGTCCCGGGTTCGAATTCTGCGAGGAGCAGGAGTCGTGGATACGCACTGCTGATGAGTCCCATACCAAGACGAGACGGCTGTCCAGTGCTTCCAGGTTTCTAATGCTGGTCTAACAATTATTGATTGATGGTTTCAAATGCGTAAAAACACAAACCTCCAAAACTCTGCCCCAAAATATATTGTTATTCAAAGAAATAAAATGCAACTTTTTAGTTTCTTATTTTCTCAAAATTATACAAAAATAAGTATTTCATTTATGTGGGAATCTAAATAATTTTCAGCCTCTTTTTATTTTTGTACCCTTAAACCAACTGGTTATCAAATGAAAAAAGACTGATCAGAAAATAGTGAACATTTCCTCTTCTTGTTTCACTTTATAAGGTAAGTTTTTGTCTTAACAACAGAATAAGATATTGGCCAAACGAAACGAACACGATTTATTCAGATGTATTCACATCGATTACAAATTTTTTCATCATTTTCAAAAATTTATATTACGTTGTCATCGATTGAAGTGATATGATAAACTGAATGTGATTTTAGAAACTAGTGACTTGAAAGTGCTATAAATTCTGTTAATCTCATGATCAATAGTTTGTATATAATTCAGGAGTAAGGGTTGACTGGTAGGATTCCTGAAAAATTACACCTTCAATACTTTTTAAATGGATTATCTCAAAAACGACTGAAGCTTTAAATGGAACTTTTAACGTATTTTCTCCTTTCATTCCAACGACAACTAGTGTAGACACATTTTAAATCCATTTTAAAAGTAATATAATTGTACAAAATAGAGTAAACCTTACCCGTTTCAAGCGTTCACATTGACTAGTTAGATATTGATAAGGCGTCATTCCCTTTCACTGGTTGCTTATAACCCGTAATAGTTCAATGTCAAAAATAAAAAAACAAAATTTAGTAAGCTTTTCAAAACGACATTATATAACTGAACAAATGAATGTGTTAACTCACAAAGAATAAAAACCATGAAAAATCAGATAAAATAGAAAACAAACATTCTGGTCATCAAACGGTTTAAAATGACCACGTACTGTTCATCACTGCAAAATCACCTAATGAGTTCGATGAGATAATCATGAATTAGTGCCAATGTTAGAACATAGATTTGATAATCATACTACTAGTATTTTGCAAGTATTTTAGAGTTGTTCGCTTTGAAATTTCTACAGTTTGCCTGCCCAAACTCTTTTCCATGATTGTTTAGGTGTGTTTGTATTAATGATAATATATCACATTGTCTAACTGCTAATCAACTATATTCATGTATGCAGGTTATCATATTTCGATCGATCTCGATTAAAATTCAATTAATTCTTTAAACAATTATGAGTCTTGACAATGCTTTTTCATCAACTATGCCTCTCCTCAACCTTTCTTTTTCTTTTTCGTTAAAGATAATTATGGCAACTATGTTGCATTCGATGAGAATGGTGATGGCTATGGACAATATTCAATTTATAATTATGCACGTGATCCATATACTGGTCAGTATCATTATCGATTAGTTGGTGATTTTCAAGGCGGTAAACTGACAATGCGTGCACGACCTATATGGCCTGGTGGTGAATCGAAAAATTTTCCAATTAGTCAATGTTCAGAAGAATGCGGGTAAATTGAATTTGTTTTACTTTTCAAATTAACGCATCAGTCACTAAATCAGTTAGATGCATAATACTTTTAATGTTTGTATAAATAGCCAAGCTTTATCAAGAATACTAGTTAACTTGTTTACCGAATAAAATCAAATGATATTTGGACAGTTTTCCTTGATAATTAACTAGTTATGATCATAAATATTTGAAACTATTTACTGGTTTTGTATTTATCTAAACATTTAAGTGACAGATGGTTGTTTATTTATTAATGTTAAACAAACACAGTTAGCTCGAGTACATATCAGATGGAACATTCGAAATAGTCAAATTTTTCATTCAAATAAACACAGGATCATTACAATTAATCTTAAAAAATTTACATCACCCTAATCGGTGCCATTTTAAAATTTCCGAATTACTAAAACAAGATATAAAGTGCATTCTATGCAATGATATTTACAGTTTGTGGCGAATCTTTGTTCGCAATAAAAGCAAAGGCTATAACGATGCACTTTTGACTTTTTGACTTTTTACTAGTTACACTATTCAAATTGTAATTGTGTAGTTTAGTTCCAATTTACTATTCATAGTTGGAATAACAGTGAGACTGATATTCACTCTTTGTTGTCATTTTATTCATTTTGTGTATTTGTCAAAGGTTTAATTTTAGGTAATAAAATATATGTAAGCGTAGAATTATGGGACGATTTAATTTTTGGTAATTGTCAAAAATTTTCAAATTATATGAAATAAGAATGATGTATCACCTGGTCAACAGTGAAATTACTAAAATTGAATAATTGAACATTTTATGTTCAATAAACATTATCCTAACTACAATAGTTTCAATGATTAATTTTTGAGCATTTAGTTAATAAGATAAATAAGTAAAGAATAAGTGTTTCAATATAAAAGTTGTCAAAAAATATTATTCAGCATTTGTTGTGCATTAAAGAATTTCTCAAGATTTTTGTTGTAATGCATGATCTACAATCACGATCGATAACTATCTCTGTGTCAATCAATGTACTGTTAGTATTCACTCAAAATTTTACACAGATAAAGATCGAATTTCTGCATTGCCAGCATGTTTTTCCATTTTGGAGCATCATTTAGATCGAAAGACTTGAAAGCAACTAAGCTAAATAGTAGGACAACTGAAATGATTCAGTGTTGAATATCGCCTACAATTTAGAATAACTCGACAACATCATTCAATATATAGTGAAGTTATCAGTGAGCTAGTGACTTAAAAGTGTTTTTTTCAACTTCTAAATGGAAGCTGTAATCAGTTGAATTTAATTAGTTTATAGTAAAAAAAAATTGTCGAATGACTGTCGTACCGTATCACGTATCAACTAAAGTTATTAATATGTACCATTCCATGTCACACCAGTTAATCCTTAAAGCTGAGTGTTCTTAAGGGGACCTGAACATTTTTATTTCGGTTCTTAATAAGGTTGTCAGAGCGAATTATTGAAGATATTCATCGTCAGATGAAACAGATCCCTTGAACTTCTTATTTTATCGTCATACAGAATCTTGAACCTACGAGTCAAATAACATAAATGTTATCTATTCACTTAGGAAAAGAAACTTATTGAATCAGTAACGTATTAACAAAGTTAATAATCTGATAGTAAATCTCCAAATTTATCATTTTCAATTACCACTGGAAAAATATGCCTTATTTTGTAGATTTCGATGGGTAAGACTTTTCAAGTAAGCCGAAATGTATATTCAAGAATAAAACATTTCTCATTGTCTGGACATGAAAATACTTTTTTTCTTAACTTGATTTTGAAAACCTTTTTTCTAGTTAGAAATCAAATACTCTGAACACTATTATTGATAGTATATTATGGAAAAACAAAAAATAAATGCTAAATAAGTCAGACTTTATGAAATGTCAATTATATTTATAAACAACTTGATCTCCCTATCTGGTTGCTGATAAGTTAATCAAAAATATTACCAAATCAACTGCAACTATTACGCATATAAATTCATTCACGTCTAGTAGCATAATTTGACATTATTATAGCGCTTCTTGATGTAAATACATTAGAAAGTGTCTAACAAAATCGACGTATTCTCATAAGTCAATCTCTTCAGCGTCATGCCTAAGCCGATACATTCACTTCACTTCATTTCATATAGACTAACAGACACAACAGTGAATTAAAAACAAATGCAAATATTTTCTACAGACTAAATAAAAGAAGCATTACGTTAAGCAAAAAAGAATGTCTTCTCTACCTACGTGCATGTGAACATAGACTAGTAGTGAAAAAGTATGATCTATTGCCATCTAGTTCAATACATACGGACTGTGGCGGTCACAAACGTAACTACAAGAATTTCAAAAATGCAACTTTCTTATTTATATTTGTTAGGAACTAATTTATTGTCATTCGAATCAAAGTCAGCTGATTGAGAACCACTTAGTTTCATATCTTTGTGAAAATTTTCAAAAAAGATTAACTAATGCCACAATTTTCTGTCACTATTCTATAAGTGACCATATTCAAATAATGAGATCCGTTTTTTAAATTCAACTACAAAGATTAATATGATACATGACAAAGTGTATAACTACTATTTGATGTATTGTGTCGCGTTCAAGGTTTAGTCTTTTACTGTCCTCCTTTAATGTACTATTTTCGTTACAAGCTAAGCAAAATAAAAAGTGTCTGTGAACTAAAGTGGATAATTGATCTAACAGTTAATGAATACAAGTATAAAATTTTATAATTTCGTCATAGTTTATGGTGATGACTTCTTGAAAACGTTAGTAATAATAAATTTCTTTGCCGAGGTCCAACTTGGTATCCTTAAATAAATTGACCATGGAATCAACTTTTTAAGAAGCAGAGTGAGAATATACACTTGTAATCATAAAATTAACTACGGTTTTAATCAACTTCATTAGTTATAAACCTTATTTCTTCACTCGAAAAAGTAAAGTTTTAAAAAAAGTGACAAATCATCCTTTAACAATAAGAAACAAGAGTGATTCTCTGTATTTTAACAACTTTATGAATAACAAAAATTCTTTTTCAAATTTTAGATAATTTTTTATTTAGAAACATCTTTCAAGTAATTTGGAAGAAAAACTAATCACTAATATATTGATGTGGTTTAAAACACTTCTATACGACAATAAGTACAAAGATAACGACTCCGTTACTCTGTAAAGATTATTCAAACGAAAAGTTAATATCGATTACAAATGATGAGACAGATTGGGAAATGTCAATCAAAGGAAAAATATTCAACTTTCCAAGATTCTTTAGTCAACATTAGGATAATTACACTTTTAATCGAATTACATCAACTATATTTCATAAACTCTAACCATCTGCATATATATGTATATATATGTATATATATCATATCTTCCGTTTTAATTCATACTGACATGATGTTACTGCAGTGACTATATTTCACAATCTTAGATTAGCATTCATATTCTTTTGTATATAAACTTTACACTTAAGACACAATCTATAACACTGATTAGTTTAAATCAAAACATTGTATATGTACAAGGCTGGAAATTATTTATCTAGTATCCACAAGTGTAAAGAACAAATATGGTATTTTTCAAATCAATTCTTTCGTCAGATATTTATTTCCGAGTATAAGATAGATATAATGTTCGGTAGTTTCCAGTATTTCACCGGGAAAAATAAGGATTTATTTTATTTCCTGCTTGTATTTCCCAAGTTTGGTTCACTTAGCAGAAATAGAATCAAGCATCTTTAACAAGGATTATCTTATTTTCTTGTTATTAGAAGTAAAACACACTTCTGGTCATCTTTAAAAATATACTCATTTAGTGGTAACTGAATTATAATGAAAAATTAATTTTGTGGTGAAATATACACGACAGTGAAAGAATTTCCCTCAAGCTGTCAGTCCAGTATATTTCAACAATAAGATTGTTTTAATCAAATGTATTATCACACTTGTGGAATTATGACAGGCTGGAAGCACTAAGATATTCATTTTTAAGTTGATGAAGATTGATAATTTTCACTTAATTGAAGTAATAGAGTTATAGTAAATGATATGATTATTCCATACTTAAATACTTGTGTATTAAGCAATCCGTATTATACTAAACGCAGGTGTCTGAAGCATTCATTAACTACTTTCATCTTATCAGTAGTATATACGTATTATAATGAATTGGCCTGATGATCCTAATCAACAATTTACTGTAATTACATGATAAATCGGTTGTTTATGACACATTTAACGAGGTGATAACGCCTTTTCATAGAGAAAATAAAAACAAAAACAATTAGATAGGTTATTTTCGTAGATATCATTTACCCAGAGGGTAAGTTATCTATTTATTTTCAGACAACACTAAATAACACATGAATATGTATGTGAATAATTATAATCTTATATGTATAAACAAATTAAGTTTGATACATTTAGATTACATCTGTTGATTGCTTTTCATTCATTCTTCTCCGGACAGATAAACATGCAAGAGATTATTTTCAAGTGTCCACATTACCGGTAAGAGTTTTTAATAGGAAAAGGGGATGAATAACATTTGACTTGATAACTAGGTAAGCACATACCAGAATGTATGCACATATAAACATTCTTTCAGTTCCACCAACTAGAAAGGTTAGAAATATAAACCTGATGACAAAATGTCAGATTTAATTAATTTTAAGCTACATCATTTTAAAATTTTGGAATGAATTGAATGCAACATATCTAACGATATCCTGAAATGGGAAGAAAATCATTACTTACTTGAGATGATATTAGTTATAAAAGAGTTTTAATGATTAAAATACACAAAATAATTTTATTAGTGACTAGGTTAAAGATTTAACTCTTGAAGTCGTAACGAGAAACGAAGACTTATTGGAGCTCACTCTACGTCGGTTTAGAGACAATTACCCACCTTTGGTAATGAATAGAGGTTGCTCAGTATCGTGAACTGATTGAAGTTAAGCATGTACTCCGCTGGATTTCGGCTCAGCTCTCTAAATTTTAAGATTGCGCTCATGAGACTGACAGTTCTAGTTTCGATTCCCACATGTAAGATCAAGAATGTGCACTGTTGAAGAGCTGACCTTTCAGGTTTTTATTGGTAGTCTGACTAACTTCATTTCATGATTTAAACTGTGAAAATCCTACAAGCTCCGAAATTCCTTTATAGTAGTGATTTTAAAGGAGTTAAATTAATTGTGATTTTACACTTTCACGATAACCTACCATTTTATCCATAGTATGTATTCCAAAGAGGCATGTATAATTTAGCTCTTTTTGTTTGACATTATGGTAGAATGTTCTCTGTTCTACGTCTCTTTAAGAAACCTTTTCTGTTACATAATCTTATATCTAACATGCTATTTTCCTAATGTTCACCATTTTCTAGACCATGTTACTTCCTATCAGTGATAACTCAGCTGAAATTCTCCTAGCTTATTCTGTTTTTTAACTATAGGTTTGGTTAATTGGTCAGCTATTAAAACATGTTCGTCCCAAAACCTCCTTCTCCACTGATATAATGGTCTTGTTGTGTTCTGTTTAACTTCAAGTTGAAAATAAATTTAAAAAAAAACAGTAAATCGCTGTGTAAGCTTAAAAACGTAGTTAATATGAAGCCTAGTAAGAGTTCATGGATTGTTTTGATGCATAGAAAAGAACAAGACAACCTCATAATCCATTAGATGAAAGTAGTATAGTACAGAAAGATGATAAAACAATTAGGAACTAATTCAAATACTTAAGTAAATTAGATTCATTCTCTAAGTATGTGCAAACTGCTCATAGTAACCGAATATTATGACTCTCAAACTTTTCCGTCCACCAGAATAAACATAATTATTGGTGTTTCTGTTAATTGATTCAGAAACATTTTAAACTTCTACATCAAGAACTCTTAAACAATGGTGTAAAAAAATACAATTTATACCTATCGGTAAAACAGGTAACTTGAAAGTGTTAAAAGAAAGTCTGTTATAGTTTCAAAAATCATCTTCTCATTCATATGTAACATGAAAGAAAGGTTAGATTGTGTCACTAATGAGACGAGAAGTTGAGAAACGGATAACTCACCTTTCACTATCTCCTTCAAAGACCTTGAGAGTAGAAATGAATTTAGAAGTATACCTTTTGACAGAAAAAGAAATTTTATAAGAAGCTTCGTGGGGGTTGTTATGACATTATCCACCAGAATAAATCTTATCAGATTTCTCTTTAAAAAAATACTAAGCAACACCTTCCTAAACGTGTGGTTGGTCTTATATGGCACTTTGGCTGGCATATAACTAACCTTTTGACGGTTATCGTATTTTACTATCTTTGGTACGGAAAGTGATGGTGTTCTTCTCTTGTCTATTTTGCAAACAAAGTTATCAAACTATTCTATTAGAGTAGGAAGAAAAACCGGTTTTTTAATGTTCATCTTTGGTAGATTTTTTGCTACTTGTCTAAAAAATATGCGCAAAATATACTTCATCGCCGATCTCAATCATGTAATTTTATTTACTGTGATGGTAACTTTGAAGACAAACAATCAACTATTCCAGTTACGCTGGTCAAAAGTGTATAAAAATGTATAATTTATTGCGCTAATTTCTTAGTCAATTACCTGATTGAATACATTTTTAGAAATTATTATTATTATTATTCAAATGTCCATTACTGCATCTATTGTAACTTTCTTTTTTAACTAACCTAATTAATATATAGATTTGGTGAAGTTCGACGTTTAGACAAGAAACAACAATGCTGTTGGTCATGTGAAACATGCGGTGTAGATCAACGCGTAGTTAATTTAACTCACTGTGAAACTTGTCCATTTCAACACTGGCCTTCAAAGGATAAAAGGACATGCGAACTTTTGGAGGTAAACCGAAATGTATTTATTTAACTTTTACTATATATAATTCTGTCCAACTTTAAAAACATTCATATTTTCAAATTGAAAATAAATTATTAAATAATATCTTGTTTAATATCAAGCAAAATGTTGAAGATTGTTCGATTTAACTGAAATGAGTTTCTAGGTTTCAATACCAAGGTTAAATTTCATACAAATAAATTAAGCATTCCGTAGGAAGTTAGTAAAAAAAGTAATAAAATAATTACATTTTCGTGAAATTCTAACTAGGAGAAATTTGGATCTTTTATTATGTTTAGTCACCTGATATACATTTTTGTTCAAAGTAAATAATTAAATAACCAAATTGAATTAATATTGGCTTAAATAGGAAACTAGTAACAATGCAGAATATTTTTTTCCAAATAGGTCTGAACATGTGAATGTCACGTAATTTTTGTAAAATAAAAGTGATCAGTTCAGCCAGGAGCTCTCCTTCCGATGAATTCAGTTTCAAAGTTGTACAATAACAAATACATACTTGTTTTTTTGGAGTGAAATATCATAACAATAACAGTGATAATAAAATTTCGTTTAACATAATAACAGTGAGGTAAAATAAATGAAGGCGTCAAAACATTATCTTTTATTGAAGACTTTAATAATGATATCTTGATTGACAACTGAAGGCTCAATGTGGTAAGATAAAATGTTAAAACTGAGATCAACTTTAATCAGGAGGATTGTAGAAACATACACAAATCAGTTGGAGGTAAACGGTGTAAAGAGAAAAAGACAGAAGGAAAGTAGGTGGATGTGAGAGGAAAAAAGAAAAGGATTATGAGAGAATAAAACCATGGTCGAAGAAGTTGTACAATTTTCTTTTATGCATATAATTCTTGTTTTACCAAAAGTTTAAATACATCCCTCACCCTATGGATATAAAGAAATTGTTGCCCCAAGGTCATAGATTTTCGGAAGAAAGGAAATGATAGATTTGAATATATTTACTGGTAAAAACATTTGAAAGAAAGGTGGCGAATTTTGAAGCTCAAAAAAGAAGGGTTATAAAATTTTACATTACTGAGAGTAATAATATGCTAGTGGAACATGGATTCTTCATTAACTATTGAGAAGTTTTTTAACGTATCCTAATCAAAGCACAGGATAATACTAGTAAAACGTCTCACAGACTGGACAAGTTTCCTCGGATCACAAGTGTTAACAGAACAAAGACTTAATGAATTTAAAAGATAAGCAGTATCAAACAGTTTCATGTGTCGACATGAAAATAAAGCTTGTTATGCAGTCACCCATATTGAATTCCGTTTATGTGAAGAGTTTCCTATGGTCAAAAATTGAAATACCACACAATGGATATCGTCATCACATCCATTTCATTGAATAATACCACTTTTTTTTATCTGAATATAATTTAATAAGTAATACACAACGTAAGTGTCCATGGGATTAGTTCAAAACATAGAAACAATGGTTACTTGAGAGGCAAAAATAAGCAGTAAGTAAATTGTGTGCCAACATCACGTCTACCGTCACGTAATATCTTATCTAATAAATCAAATAATATGTGTAATATCCGGTTGATTGACAATACATCATCCTATCAAAATTCTCAAAACACTTTACTGATCTCAAAGTATAATCCATATGTACAAACGATCCTTTGATCATATGCTGATGATATTTTTAAGTAATCAAAGAAAGATATTTTTGTGTGATTTTAGAAAGCATAATAATTCATTGTTCTAGTAGATAAGATTTATAGCTTAAGTAGATTATTTTGGTTAAGTTTTGTCCTCTGAGTTGAATGATTAAATGGTGAGGTCTGCACTGCCCTTTTGGATAACATTACCAATGTAAATTTCGAGGAAGCGCGAGCAATTAAAAATTCTCCACATATGAATGCCAACTAATCTCATATAGTTTGATCTTGATTAGTTACTGTTGTCCTATTATTGCTTACATTAGTCAACACATAGAAGTGCACACAATTTATTTATCTATTACAAAAGTCATCGAAAAATATGGCCTCAAAAACCTAATCAAAGAGGAAGACGATCTAGGTAAGTATCTAGACAATGATGGGACAAAGGTCAACAATAACTCTTAAGATCAAGATCGACAAGACTAGTTGTCAGTAATATATATAAAGAGCTTTGAATAGCTCACTCCATCCTGAAGTTTATACAGATAATGTTAGCCAGAAGGACAACAAGAACTTTAGTATTAAACCATCTAGCCGACAGAACAAAACTCAACCCAACCAAATCACATTAAGTTGATGAAGCTATGAACATCTATAAGTGTTTGACAGGTTTTTAGTATCACTCACTCAATCGAGAACTTAATCTTTGTAAAGAATGAAAAACACGACTAAAGTGAATTTCACAACAATGTCTCTTTTTCATTCGTGTTTCCCTTATTTAGATACAATCTACAATAAATACTACCCGCGGTTGTATAACGAATGGAAAGTACTAAAAATAGGTTGTAATTAGTCTTTTCAGTAAACTCACTAGTTTTTACTTGCACAAAGCATATTCATTTGATCATTGATACAAATACAGTTGAGGAACTACTCTTAAACTGACCTATACTACATAATAACGCACATTTTAACTTATCATTTGATGGTAAGTCTAAAGAACAAAATTTCACTATGCGATGAGCTTTCTCTTCGATAATATTCTCAAAGGATATAGAGCGAAATGAAAGATTTTTATGAACAGTGATAACACCTGGTGCACATTCGCTATTACACAAGTACGGCAGCGTTTCTACCACGCAACTTAGGAATATCAAGGGTCATCAGTAGTATGCTGCCCAACATAGAGGCAGAGTTTGCCTAAGCACAGGTTCGAAATTTTAAGACATGGTTCAGAATCGCGAACAGTAGCTTTCTTTATTCCTAATATACATATGCATTAAAACTTTGTATTTTAAATGTTTTAACCATTTGGAACTTTTTCTTTCTCCCAACAGTTACACTATATTGATATTTCAACATGGTATGCGATCGTTCCAATAACGTTTAGTAGTCTTGGCATACTAATCACTGGTGGGATTATACTAACATGGATTTTTTATTCTGATACACCTTTGATTCGTGCTACAGGACGTGAACTAGCTTATGTACAATTAGCTGGATGTTTAGTTTGTTATTCATGTACATTCATTCTAATAGCAAGACCGTCAATTTTTACATGTTCACTACAACGAATTCTGATTGGTCTGGGTTTCGCAATGATGTATGCGTCATTATTGACAAAAACCAATCGTATTGCAAGAATATTTGATGCAGCAAAACGTACTACTAAACGTCCTGTATATATTTCACCAAGATCACAACTTGCTATTGCTGGATCATTAATTGCCCTGCAATTATCTTTATCAGCTATATGGTTCGGTTTTGATTCACCTGATACACGAATTGATGAGATTAGACCTGGTTATCTTGTTTTACGATGTGCTATGAAAGATAAAAGTTTTTTAATTTCGTTGGCTTATAATATGATTTTAATTATTGTTTGTACAGCATATGCTGTAAAAACACGACAAATTCCAGAAAATTTTAATGAATCTAAATTTATTGGTTTTACTATGTATACAACATGTATTATATGGTTGGCATTTTTACCAATGTATTATGCTACAATTAGTAATCATCAAGTAAGTATTTGATTGAATGTTCATGTTAGTTCCAATCAATAGACACTAAATATCATTCAAATAAATCTAAGGAGATGAGTATAATTTTTTTCTTAAAACAATATATCATTGGCAAAATGTTCAGTATATTAGCATGAACTCTGATTTATTAAAACTAGTGGGAAGTCGTGACCAGTGAAGTTCAAGCCTGTTCAGATGTATACAGTGTATGAGGTTGCGCAACTCCGTGAATTTGATCAAGTTAGACATTAACACCGTTAGATACCGGCTCAGTGGTCTAACGGTTAGGGCGTTCATGCACAATGCCGAAGGTCCTGGGTTCGAATCCTGCAGGGTGCAGGAGTCGTGGATGCGCACTGCTGATGAGTCCCATACCAGGACGAAACGGCCATCCAGTGCTTCCAGGTTTCTAATAGTAGTCTAACATTGATCGATTCATGGTTTCAAATAAAACATAACAATCTTCACAACAACCCCGCAATGTTATTTATCACTCAAATGGTTTATTCATCAGAAGAAATGCTGTCATTTTAATTCATAAAATCTTAACAAATGTTAACTGCTTGGCGTAGCCTTTTTACATTTGAAATTGAAAAATCTCAATGTCCATTCATGTGATGGATGAGTTTTTACAATTCTGTTTTTCTTATCAATCGTTGTGAGCTTTTATTATATAGTTGAGAATAAGTGATAACTTCAATTAATTGACCTAGTTAACTTATCTATTTATATATATACATCACTGTGTTTACCTAATTAACTAAACAAATAAATTCATTGAACAAAATATTAGTCAATTAGAACACTGATATATATCAATGAATAATGTTTCTTTTCAATAAAATTGATTCACTTTCAACAGTAGTCATTTATTATGCCTAAAATGATCATGTTTCAGGTAAATGCACCATAAAACTATTATAATACATAAATTAATTATTATTCATAGAATAAAATAAACTTCTTAACGTTGTAATAGCTAGAACGTGGTGTTGACTTGAATTAAATTATACATTAACTGAAACTAGAAGATGATTAATTGAAATAAATATGTTGTAACATGAGGTGAGAGAAATAATTATCAAGGTTATAAATTAGATCAAATATCTACTGAATGACTAAATTATGAATGAAGTAATATGAATTCAGTGAGAAAAAAAATATAGAGCAGGAGTGAAAATTATCTAAATTATTCTTGTGTTTTTAGAAGATTAATAGTTGAGATGGTGGAGAAAATCTGTAGCTCAGGTGGATGATTATGGTGTAGTTTCGTTCATTGAACTGGATGATTTGGTTGAAGAGTCAAACGTGGAGAGATTTAAATACTTCCTTTCTACCTGAAGTTTGTGTTGATGATGGTGTTATGATGCACAATGAAATCTCTACAACCAAACCATCCAGCTCAGTGATCGAAACTCTTCCATAAAATCTATAGCGATGCTGAAATAATAATTGTCATAATAAATACGACAATAATTATTAAGAAATGTAAGTAAAAATAATATCAATATCAAGTTATGAAAATACAATAGGAAAAGGCTGAATGTACATTGGTCAAATCAGGTGACTCCGAATATATTTAATATTACTATTAATTTATTAACCCTAGAGGTTGGTCAGGGTAAGAGAAAGGTGGGGAACATGATTCTTATGCACACGTAGCTACGGTTACTTAATATGAATAGCTGTTATTTCTACCGATTGAAGGACTTTAGTGGAATCTAAAAAGAATTTACTGAAAAGAATACTCAACGTTCAAATTATGAGGATTATTATAATTTAATCAAACAAAAACACATAAAGCTAAAGAAAAATAATAGAGCAACTAGAAATTTGTTAACGAAACACATTAAACATTTTTGAAATTGAGGTGGTTTGTGATAATAATTATGTTGCATGTTATAAATCTATTAGTAATACAACTTCCAGAATGAATTATTTCATGGTGTAGATTACTGAACCATGATCAATAGAACGGCTTGTTTGAATACATGATGGTTGAACTCGACATATATCACTATGATTATACAATAAGTCAGGATTCAATAAGGGAACACTTCAATTACTGGATTTTGGACATTGAATTATTCCTGTTATATAAGAGATTCTTTAAGGCTTAGTTAGATAGACATTTTAGTAATTCAAATAGTTAAACTTCATTTTGCTCGATTTATTTGAAGGCGAAATCTAATTACATAAACCTTGGACATGAAAAAATGTTACATGGTACCTCTGTCACTATTCTATAGTTATCTGTAGTTTTAATCTTATTCATTAAGGTGAAAATAAGAAAATAGCTTAATTTATGTAAATTAGGCATTCTTAACTAATGCTTACTACAAATAACATTTCCTATCAACATTAATGTTTTGATTGAGTATGGGAATAATGTACACCAACACATTCCCCTATATGGGTTAAAAAAAACTCCAATTCTCGCCACTTTTAATATTTTATTGAAAACACTTTTCATTAATTATTTTACTTGGAAATATTTAACTAATTTTCTCCTCGTATCTTTTTATATTTCCTGAAATGAATTGAATTTCCAAAATTTCGATAATTATCTTACATACAGTTAGCTTCAAATAAATCAATTCCTTCTGTCGGAATAAGAAAATGAATAAGTGTACAAAGAATGACTTACTTGAGAATGAGCTTATGAACAAGTATTTGGGAATCATCAATGCAATACTGCGAAATCATAAATAAATTTAGTTTAAAATACAGTTTCATCTAAGTAGCTATTTTATTTTATGGTGAAAAGTTTCAGGAGTTTTATTTCACTTAAGATAAACAATAAGAAAATGGTGAATTCTTTGTGTGTGCATGCATTTGTATGGGAATATGATAGCGCCCCATAACTGTTTCGTTTGGGGCACATAGATTGGTGAATCTCACTATTTGTGTTCATTGCTCTCAGTCACTGTTGTCTAATGATGCGTTTATAATGAGTGCTGTGCATTACAACCCATCAGAATAGTTCAAGCCTTATGTTGAGCACTCCTCAACGATTAACTGTAGCCCCTCATAGAATTGACCTTTGTCGATCCCATAGTTATCTTTAATGGGCACATAACACTGAGCAATATTCATTGTAATCCCTTCTTTCTTTGCTTGGATAGAGGCTTCGATGATCATGGGTCCATGAGATTCCCATCTTATCAGTGCATTGTGTATACGGCCTTTTTTGTCTAAGCTGCGTTCAATGTATTGCACTTATGCCAATTACCCGCAGGTTGTGTCTTTACACTTCCGCAACAACTTGAAAGACTCTCCCGGTCTGCCACTATGTACAAACATTCCATGTACCTGCATTAATGGTTGCTCTGGTTGCCAGAAACTAGGTTTTCGTAATGAGACGTCATAACTCTTCTAAATGAAGACCTCTTAGGGCAGAGACTGGATGGTTTTAGTTATTTTTTCTGGTTAGTTTTTCTTAACAAGTTGGTTTTCTATGGGATAGGGTTACTAACCCTATACACGATCCCCAATACCTAGGCTTGGGACGGGCAGTGACCCCAGAAGGGCCCCAGATGGAGTTAGGTCGCAGTTACAGTCATCATGTTTACTTTAGAAATAAAACTGATTTTTTTAATAAGAAGCCGAAAGCTTCCATGCAATTTATACATATAAATTTAATAAATGCTTAATAGTTGAAACATCTGAATCTGAGCCTTCTCAGTAACGTTACATCTGCATTAACACAACTGAACTCCTGTTGATTAATCATAAGAGAATAGATTAAGTGCAAACTTATCACACTATGAATAGCATAACGGTTGCCTGAGCACATTAGCTGTAATATAAATGAGAAAGATTGATTCCTGTTTATCCAGTGATAGGTCTGTGACTAGTAAAGGTTCGTTAGCAATTAATATATTATTACTGGTAATACTGGCACTAATTGTAACACCATTATAAATATTATCTGAATCATTAGCATATTATGTGACCGTGATTAATAAGCACTTAATCACCGATTACTCTCATGTACTCATGCATGTAATTATTTTAGTGCAATCCATCCCACTTATAATGAGATTTTAAAACTAGATATATTCCAAAATAACTGAAATAACCATTGAGAACAGTTATATCAAAACAACTGCACAAAAATCCTTAAAATAATAGTGTGTAATGAAACAGTTGAAGTAGGAAGATTGACATGAAAAAAAAGAATGGCATCTGACACAACAGCGCGATATTTGGACAATATTAATTAAAGCAAACAATATAATTGTTGTTTACATCAGAAAGTATTTTTGTTAAGGATTCACTATTAATACCACGTTATGTTTTGAATGATTGTGTAAATGTAGATAGATATACATATATCTACTCTTTGAATTATTTTCAATAAACTGAGACAGGCTAAATTAGATCAATCATTAGCTATTCTAACTGGTATATATATATCGGTTACTTATATGTTAAAGATAAATTTCACAGTATTCATTAAAACAATACATCAGTCTTAGTATATAGTTCAAAGTAGAATGATCATTGTCAAATGGAACTACTAGCATCATAATTATCTTCAATAATATAAAGAAATAATTAATTTTTCCATGTATAAAACAGTCGAACAATGATATGTGGTTTATGGGATGAAAGTTTGATAATATGAAAAGCTCACCTATTTAAAGAGTGAAGAAAAGAAAGACAAGTGTAACAGTTACAGCCTGGGTAAATAAATCATTATAATACTGATATTTTTTTTACCAGAGTCAAAAATGACTATGTTTCACGTTCTCGTTTTGATCTCAATGAAAGATTAGATCAGTCGAGTCGAAATTTTAATCCAAACCATTTCTGTCATTTCTTACTCAACCCCCTTAATCACTTCTTACCTTTTATAGATGATTTCACATTTACTAGATCAATAGCTATTTATGAAATAGGTTAAAAGTAACTTTCCCTTTAGAATGTGAGTAAAATTTAACGAAGAATATTTACTTACTAAACCAGTTGTTGTTTACAATAAGCATTTAATAAAA